GCAAAGGGCTGGGGCTTGAACTGGGAGAGAAGATAAGTGAAGATGCTGCGGCCAAGGGCGAAGCTGCCTTTCCAGGGCTGCTATGGCCGGGTCCACCTCTCCTGAAACGCGGTAACTGCCAGTGCGGGAGCGCACCAAAGTTGTGACCACAAGCGCCGGCTCTAACTACCAAGTATGGTCAGGCCCTTGTGCAGGGACAATGCGTTCCTGCCGCCGAGCCCGAAATGGGAGTACGCGTGCGCACAGAGAAGATGCTGGAGGAGGCTGGGCTTCCTCGCTGGGCAGTCCCAGCCTCGGGAGGACGAGAAGGCGGGGGAGGTAAGAGATTTCCGCTTCCGCCGAGAGCCGGAAGTCACTGTCTCCCGGGTGAACGAGGCGATCGCAACAAGGGTGTGAGTGCAGGTAAAGGTTCGCGCGGGCGGACGTTGGGGCCGGGTGGGGCTGGGCGCTCTGCGACCCCAGGGCGCTCACGGGATCCTGAAGGAGGCGCCGAGGGCCCAGGGCTCGGGGAGCGGCCCATCGGGGAACTTGACTGCCTCAGGTCCCTGCAGGTCCCAGCCCGCTGCTTGGAGGCCTGGATGCTACCGGCGGCTGGCGGGAGGCGACACCGAAGCTTCGGTGAGCTTGGAGGAACAGTCCTCCCACCACCTCTTAAGTTCCGCCAGGGGCGATGGCTGAGCTCTCTTCCATCTTCTTGGCGCGCTTTGGACTTAGGTCGCCACATAAGTACAGTTCCCGGTCCCCGGAACTTTACGTGTAGTCCATACCCCTTTTCTGCAGCGTAGTTGGGGGGCACTGTAGTCACCGGGAAAAATGAGATTCTGAGGCCCATCTCTAGCTTCAGGAGACTTGTTTATATATTCAGATAGTTACTTAGCATTTAATGCACACCAGGCATTGGCGTGCTGCTGATTCGTTGCTCAGTCCTGTCCAACCCCGTGGACTGCAACACTCCAGGCTTCTTTGTTCATGGGTTTTCCCAGGCAACAGTACTGGAGTCGGTTGCCATTTCCTTCACCGGATCTTCTCGACCCAGGGATCAAACTCCAGTCTCCTGCATTGGCAGGTGAGCCACCAGGGCTGCTGATTCCAGCCATGCACAAATCAGGCTCCCACCCCAACCCGCAGAACTGACATTCTAGTTGGGGGACATCTGGTGTGAGGTTCAGAAAGTTGCATTTTTCTGAGCAGCCCCAGGTGATTCTGTGGCAGGTGGTACCCAGGGTCTGGCTCTGGGGAAATTTTTTCAACAAAACACTCTGGCCAAGGGTAGGAGCCTGGGCTGCCGAAATGCCTATACTTTACTAAAGCCTGCAGGGTCTTGTGGTCGGCCTGCTGCTTTCGTCTTCCATTGCATCTCACATCCATCTCCCTGTTGCTAACTGGGCTTCAGCTGTACCAGTCTTCTTTCTGTTTCTCAAGAAAAGCTGGTGCTTCCTTGAAGCTTTTGCAGTTGAAGTATTTCCAGCCTCTGCCTGCCCTGTCTTATGTGGATTTTCTTTCTCTCATCATTCAGTCCTCATTTTAAATGACCCTTCCTCAAAGGATCCTTCAGGCTCCACCCTTGAAGTAGCCCTGTCCCAGAGAAGTTCACATAGCCTTGTTTTTTGTTTTTAATTTTATTTATTTACTGGAATGCTCTGGGTCTTTGTGGCTGCGCTCGGGCTTTTTCTGGTTGCGGTGAGTGGGAGCTACTCTCTAATTGCTCTGTGAAGGCTTCTCATTGCGGTGGCCTCTCTTGTTGCAGCTCACAGGCTCAGTAGTTGTGGCATGCAGCCTTCGTGACCCCGCAGCATGTCAGATCTTCCCAGACCAGGGATGGAACCTGTATCCCCTGCATTAGCTACTGGACTACCGAGGAAGTCCCACATTGCTCTGTTTTATTAACCTCGTAGCACTTGCCAGTGGCTTCCCAGGTGTTGCTAGTGGTAAGGAACCTGCCTGCTAATGCAGGAAATGTAAGAGATTTGGGTTCAGTCCCTGGGTGGGGAAAATCCCCTGGAGAAGGACATGGCAGCCCACTCCAGTATTCTTGCCTGGAAAACCCCATGGACAGAGAAGTCTGGCAGGCCACAGTCCATAGGGTCACAAAGAGTCAGAGACGACTGAAGTGACTTAACACACACACCCACACACACAGCACTTGTCAATATTTGAAATTTTTTCCCTTATTAGTTAGCTTAGGGGTCTCTCTTCTCCACCAGAATATCAGTTACACAAGAACAGACACCTCACCTTCCCTGATTACAGCACTGCTGTGGCTTGCTGTAGGCCTGGCATTGGTTGGTTCATTCATTCATTCAGTAAATATTTGTTGAACACCAGCTCTGTGCCACGAGCTGTTCTAGGCTCTGAGGATACAAAGAAAAGACAGAAATCCCTGCCCACAAGGAGTTCACACTCTGAGGGTGGTGGTCAGGGACCAGTGAGGAAGCTGTTGTGATCATCCAGGCCAGAGAAGACCTGGACTCTGGACTCAGACCACTGAACTGGCCCTGGGAGTGGTGAGAAGTGGTCAGATGTTGGGCGTCTTCTAAAGGTAGAATAGTAAGGAACTTCCCTGGTGGTCCAGTGGTTAAGAATCTGAGCTTCCACTGCCAGGGCACAGGTTCCATCCCTGATTGGGGAAGTAAGATCCTGCATGCCTCAAGATGTGGCCTAAAATAAAAGTAGAACAGTAGGATCAGGGTGAGATAAGGGGTGTGAGAGGGGGCAAAAGGAACTGAGGTCGAGTCCAGGGTTTTTGGAAAGATGGACTTGCTGTCTGCTGAGCTGAAGAAGACTGCGGGAGAGCAGATTGAGGTGTTTGGAGCTGGGTTTTGGATAGGTCATGTTTAAACATTGGTTAGCATCAGGTGAGGCAGGTGGTCAGGAAGGCTACAGTTCAGAAGAGGCAGTGGAAGCGGTGACACGGGCTGTGATCTCCATGGAGGTGAATGTATTTGGACAAGGGAGGGGCCCAGAGACTGAGCAAGTGGATTCACTATCCTTAGCAAATTAGAGAGGTGGGGTGGGGTTGCAGCAGCAGAGACTGCCAGAACCTACCATCGAGGAGTGAGTGGGGAGAGTCCCAGGTCCTGAGAGCCCTGTGAAAAGGGCAGGTGGAGAAACCGGTGTGTCCAGTGTGCTGAGGAGTAGGGACTGCCCCGTGCGGTGGACAGCATGGCAGGAGCAGTGGAGAGAGAACCGGAGAGAAGGCAGACAGCTCTATTAGAAAAACTCTCTATAAATGAAGAGATTGTTTCTAATGATGGGCAAAGTCATCCCAAGTGTGTTCGTTAATGATCCAGTGGAGAGAGCAAGTGTGATGCTGGGATCCAAGACCCAAAGTAACAAACTGTGTTTGTGGGGAGCAGGGCCATTCTTCCCTAGCGGAAGGGGAAAGGTCAAGTGGGTAGTCCTGGAGACTTGTGGATTGTGGATGTTCACCACCAGCTCCTCCTGTTTACTCAGTGAATTGGAAGCACCCTTAGTTTAGAACAAGGACATCAGATAGAGAGTGGTCACCGTGTGTGAATGAAACACTGGTCTTTCTCTGGCAGGCTGCTGACCTCTGCTAGTCATGGAAGATGAGACCAGAATCAGGGGTGGATGGGGGTGGGAGGGGCGCTTCAGGGGTTAGCCTGGTGCCTCCCATGGGAGATTGCACTCAGTGTAGCTGCTGCTGCTTCCCTGCCCACCTACCTCTGAGGCATCTTCCCCTGGACATGCCATTTGCCCCATCACCTTGCTCCTCCTTTGTGTCAGACATCAGAGAACAGGGCCCCTTTTCCCCTGAGCCACCAGCTCCATCCCCTACCACAACCCTGGGAGTCAACCCAGACACTTCTCACACTGCTCACCCACTCCGCTGGACTGTTCCTTCTCGGCGTGCTCACCACTGGCTTGTGTCCTCTTTCTCGCTTACCCGCTGCTGCCTTTCACCCAGAACAACCCTGTCCTGGTTCTGACTTCATCTTCACCCAGGCTTTCCACCCATCCCTTTCCTTGGTCCCTCTCTCTTTCTTTTTTTAAATATTTATCTGGCTGCACCAGGTCATAGATGCAGCATGCACCATCTTCAGTCTCGTTTTGGCTGCGGAATCCTTAGTTACAGCATGCGGGATCTTTAGTTGTAGCATGTGAACTCTTAGTTGTGGCATGTGGGATCTAATTCCCTGACCAGGGATTGAACCCAGGCCCCCTGCATTGGGAGTGCAGTCTTAGCCACTGGACCACTAGGGAAGTCCCTCCTTGGTCTCTTTAAAACACCAGACAGTTTAATCCCTACACTCCCCACAACCTCCAGCATCCATCCAAATACTCAGAACGCTCCCACCTGCTCCCTCCCCACCCCCTTTCTCCCCCGAGCCTGCCCCTCTACCCAACCCACATGGTCCCCAAACCCTGGCCAGGCCCTCAACCTTTTATATGGCGTTTCCTTACTCCAAATGCATGTCCCCGTTTCTCTGTCCAGCCCCTCATCTGCAAAGAGCCTGCCTGAGGGGCCCCCCAGAAGGCTCTGTCACATCCTTTCAGTGTCATTCCTCCTGGGTGGCATTGGCCTGTCCTGTTGCAGAAGGAGCAGCCTGAATAAAATCTCCGGCTCCTGAGCACTCCCGCGTGACCGGCCTTCACAGAGTCTCGTCCTCACCAGGAATGGTGGCCTCCTGTGTTGGTGCTGGCAGACGGTCCAGGCTCTTACCATATGTCTCTCCCCGTGAGACCAGGCTCAGATGGAAACCTCATGCCACTTCATAGACAGGAGACTGAGGCACAGAGCATTTAAGGAACCCACTTGGGATCCTGCAGGAAGTGGGGGAGCTGGGGTAGAATCCAGGCCGCCTGACCCCATAGTGCACCGAGGTGGTCTGCCTGCCCAGCCCCTGGGAGCCTCAGGCAAGACCTCCCTCCTCCAGAGGCAGCCAGCCTGCCTCCTAGGGCATCGGGCTGGGGGGCTGCATGGGGCCCACGAGTCAGATTTCTGTCCCTTCTGCCCACAGGTTCGCTCCCCTACAGACATGGGGCGCAGAAAGTCAAAACGGAAGCCGCCCCCCAAGAAGAAGATGACAGGCACCCTGGAGACCCAGTTCACCTGCCCCTTCTGCAACCACGAGAAGTCCTGTGACGTGAAAATGTGAGTGGGGCTGGGGAGCCTGCCTCACGGGGCCACTTCCTCCTTCCTCAGTTGCGGTGTGGCTCACCCCCACCACTATCCTGTCCTCCAGTCTGCCCCAAGCCCTCCTGCTTAGGGGGATCATCACCCACAGACAGAGGCCCCTTCCTTCAATAGCCCCTGCACCTCCTCCTGTTCCAGGGACCGAGCCCGAAACACCGGAGTCATCTCTTGTACCGTGTGCCTAGAGGAATTCCAGACGCCCATCACTTGTATCCTTGGGAAACCGGGCTTTTTCCAGAAGATGGGTTGGGGATTCTGGGCGGCCCTGCCCAGAGTGGGCTGCTCAAGGACACCCAGCCCTGCGGCATGCCCAGGGGGCGTGGCCACCGAGAGGAACCAGCGCCACAGGCTGACTTACATGGTATGAACGGGGTTCGGGGCAGTGGTCTGGCTAACAGTGGTGTGAGCTACAGAAAAGTACATGTGGGAAGGGGGTCCAGTGCTACCAGTTGCCCTTGACCGCAGCGGCTCAGATCTGTCAGAACCAGTGGACGTGTACAGCGATTGGATAGACGCCTGCGAGGCTGCCAATCAATAGCGACACAGACGGCCCACCCCCTTGGCAGCCCCGCCCACTGGGTACCAATCGAGAGACATTCCAGGGTGTCCAGGGTGTGGGTCCGGGGCCTTTGCAGCCCCGAATGTGAGTGTGTGCAGAGTGGATATCTGTGTGTGTGTGTGTGCGCGCGCATACGCGCGCGTGGCTGCAGGTGTGACTGCGGGGGAGTTTTCATGGGATGCGGGTAGAGTTGAAGGGTGGTGGGGCCCCAGGGGCCTGAAATGCTTGCTCAACAAGCTTTTGACTGGCTCCAGCCTCTAGCACCTGGGCCACTGGCTTCAGGGCCCTGTTTTCTCTAGAGGCCTGCGTCCTGACCCACCTCTGCAAGGGCAGGCCCAACAGAGGCTGCCACCGGCCTCTCCAGCGCCTTCCTGCACCTCACCAGCAGTACTTGGCCATGGAACGGGACTGACTGCTCCCCCTCCCCAGCTGCCTTCCCAGGCCTGCGACCTGAAATTCAAGCCACAGTCCCATGGGCCCCCTGGCGGGGCGGCCTGTTTTCGTGTTCCCTAGCTTTTGTAGAGGAGGGAGGGGCTGGGCTGGGGACAGCTGTCTGTCACAAGCCCTTAAATAAAGCAGCAAACGCAGAACTCCCAGTTCTCTGATTTCCTGGGCTCTGGGTCAGACCCAGGGGCTCAACACAGGAAAAGGGGAGACTGAGGCATTCAGAGGTGGCCCAGCGGGCCATCTGAAGTGGGGTCAGTCAGTCCTTCAAACCATCTTACATTTAAGCCACTATACAAGCATTCAAGGTGAAACCCGGGCAGCTGGGCTCAGGGGACAGGGATAAACGCACAGGCATCTGGCCAGTCATTTACAGTCACGGTGGAAACCAAGGCCAACAGAGGCCGGGGTGTGGGTGGGGTGATCAGAGAGGGCTTCCTGGGGGACCCCCCCTGAGGAAGGTCAGGCTCCAGGGCCCCCCTGTTCCTGAGGCTGCTCTCAGGTGATCCTGCCTTCCCGCCATGTTCCAATGGCCACCCCGGGAGGAGGATGCTCACAGGTGAGGAAGCAGGCCAGAGACGGGAGGCCGTGGGCCCAGGGTCCAGCAGACCTCACAGCCCAGGGTCTCACTCATGAGTCCAGGGTTCAGGCTAAGGGAACAACTCCTGGCTTCTGGGGGCTGAGTGGGGTGAAGATCCCTGGAGGGGAATAAGGGACTAGACTGTTGTCCTAGAGTGGTGGGGAGACTGGAGGTGGGGCCAGATGCACATGTTCAGTGTAACAAATATTGGTCTTGGCACTTGCCTTTCAGTCTAGGGGTTGGGACTGCAAGCTTCCACTGCGAAGAAATATTGGTCTTTGTCCCTGGATCTTGGCACAAAGCTAAAACGCTTGGAATTTCCTGGGCAGTCAGAGTATCTTTCATCATTCATAAAGAGCCCATTTTTGCTCACTGGTGAGATTATGCTAATGAGGTGATTTAGAATGAGGCCCCAGACATCCTTGGGGCTTCCCAAGTAGCACAGTGGTAGACTCCACCTGCCAGTTTAGGAGACCCAGGTTCAGTCCCTATCGGGAAGATTTTTTAAAGGAGGAAATGGCAGCCCGTTCCAGTATTCTTGATTGGAGAATTCCATGGACAGAGGAGCCTGGTGGGCTGCAGCCTTTGGGGTTGCAAAGAGTTGGACACAACTGAGTGGCTAGACAACAATGAAGCAGCATTACCCATAGTGTATGAAGTAAAGTGAAAGTCTCAGTCATGTCCAACTCTGTGACCCCATGGATTATACAGTCCATAGAATTTTCTAGGCCAGGATACTGCAGTGGGTAACCTTTCCCTTCTCCAGGGGATCTTCCCAACCCAGGAATTGAACTGGGGCCTCCTGAATTACAGGCAGATTCTTTACCAGCTGAGTCACAAGGGAAGCCCAAGAATACTGGAGCGGGTAGTCTATCCCATCACCAGCGGATCTTCCTGGCCCAGGAGTCGAACCGGGGTCTCCTGCATTGCAGGTGGATTCTTTAACAACTGAGCTATGAGGGAAGCCTCTCATAGTGTTTAGTATGCATTAAGTGCTCAATAATGAACATAGCTGAAGTGACTGAGCACTCAACAGCTTCAGCATGGGGCTGATTCCTGAGTAGGAATCAGCCACACCTACCAACCTTTGGGAAGGGGCCTAAAGGAGATCAACCTGAATATTCACTGGAAGGGCTGATGCTGAAGCTGAAGCTCCAATCCTTTGGCCACCTGGTGGGATGCCAACTCACTGGAAAAGACCCTGATGCTGGGAAAGATTGAGGGCAGGAGGAGAAGTGGGGCAGCAGAGGATGAGGTGGTTGGATAGCATCATGGACACAATGGACATTGCTCAGTCGTGTCCGACTCTTTGCGACCCCATGACTGTAGCCCACCAGGCTCCTCTGTCAGTGGGATTCTCTAGGCAAGAACACTGGAGTAGTTGCCATTTCCTTCTCCGGGGGATCGTCCCAACCCAGGGATCGAACCCATGTCTCTGTCTCCTGCATTGCAGGCAGATTCTTTACCCACTCAGCCATTGGGGGGTATGAATCTGAGCAAACTCCAGGAGATAGAGGAGGACAGGGAAGCCTGGAGGGCCACAGTCCATGGGGTCGCAGAGTCAGACATGACTTAGTGACTGAACAACAAGAAGGGGACCTAAGATGAAGTGCTTTGAGAACAAGATCTGATGAACCTCTGCCTGTGGTGAACACTTAGAGGTGCTGGAACACGTGGAAAGGATTCAGGAGTTCCACACCCCTCCCTATACCGTGCTCTCTGTGTCTCTCCCTTCTGGCTCCTCCTGAGTTTGATCCTTTCATAATAGAACCAAAGTAATAATAAAACCAGTGATCTAATAAAAAGTAAAGTGTTTCTCCACGTTTTGTGAACCAGTGTAGTAAATTAACAAAATCTGAGGAGCGGGTGGAGGGAACCCACCGATCTACAGCACAGGGAACAACCTGGACTTGTGATTGGCTCCTGGCGTGGGGAAGGGGCAGTCCTGAAGGGAACCCTTTATTCTGTGGGATCAGAGGCTGTCTTCAGGTAGTGTCAGAATTGAGTTAACTGATTGGTGGTGTTGGAAAAAAAAAACCACACCTAAACAAGCAGACGGCGAGATCCCAGACAATCTGGTGGTCCTGGTGCTCTGGCAGCACGGGCAGCTCAAGCTCCTCCATGCAGCCCCATGAGCCTGGGCAGCAAGTGGAAGGATGGTGGAAACTCCATCCAAGGGCCACCCTGAGGACGGAGGCGCCCAGTGTGATTCCTGACACGGTGCCAGCAGATGGTGACCCACCAGGGCGGCAAGGAATATGAACAGCAGAGGAAGATGCTGAGCTGGCCAGAAGCCCTGGCCACCAGGCCCAGCCATTGGGTCTGACAGGTGTCCCCCAAGGCCCACCCTGCCCTGACATGCCCCCAACCCGGTGCTCCTACCTTCCCTTCCAAGACCTTACTCAGGTGGGGTCCCATGGCCAAGGCAGGACCCAGTGGGCTTAGACACAGTGATTGGACAGGCACCTGGGGCGGAGGTGGGGGAGCTGCTGCTGGAGTCCAGGGAAAGGGCCCTTGCTCTTCTGTCAACCAGGGCCCGCCTACCCCAGTCTCACAGTCTGAGTGCTAATATGGTGCTGTTTTCCCAAGGAGGTAGGGCCCTGGGCCAGGCAAGGATCCTCCTCAGCATAGCTTCCCCCCGCTGGCCCTGGGGGAGCAGGACTCCAGCTAGCCAAGCCAAGAGCTCCTGGAATCTGCTTTACGAGGCCCCAGGGGTTGTGCAAGCGCAGGGGGCTTCTGATGTCCATCCCAGCAGGTCCCCCCATTCCAGCCTTGCCCCGCCCTGTCCCCCCGCCCCAGTCCACCCTGGGGAGGGAAGGGGAGAAGACTGCTCTGAGCCTCCAGCATGGCAGGCCACATCCTCTCCATGGAACCCTGGTGGTGGGTAACTTTCGGGCAGGAGAGCGGGAAGAGTGGGGTAGCCCCTGAAATGGGGAGAGTTGGGAATTCGTCCAGACTTCTGGGATCTCGGGCTGGCAGGCCAGGATTGGAGATGAGCCCTGAGCACAGGGCACAGTGTGAGCCAGGCACACAGGCCAGCTGCACCCTGTGGTCAGCTTCTTAACTGCTCTGTGCCAGCTGGTAAAAGGCCATCGCCCTGGGCGTCCGGAGCACCCATCTTTCCCACTGCCCCGTCGCCTCCCACCTCCCCATAGTCTGGTTGTCTAGTCGCTCAGTCGTGCCTGACCCTTTGCAACCCCATGGACTGGACCCCCACAGGCTCCTCTGTCCACGGAATTTCCCAGGCAAGAATACTGAAGTGGGTTGCCATTTCCTCCTCCAGGGCATCTTCCCGGACCAGGGATTGAACTCGAGTCTTCTGCGTTGGCAGGTGGATTCTTTCCCACTGAGCCACCACAGAAGCCACATAGTCTACTCCAGGACTCAAGGATTCTCTCTGCCCACAGGGGCCTCCAGAACCAGGCTGTGGTCCATTCTCATGATCAGTGCCAGACACCATCCCCTGTCTGGAGGCGTCATTTCATTGAAGCTTCCTGTGACTCCCACAGGCTTCAGTGTCCTCATTTTCCTGATGGGAAAACAGACCTAGGGAGGGGAGGTGACTTGCCCAAGGTCACTTGGCTGGCCAGCTCCAAAACTGTGATTCACATCATATCTCACCCATCCCAGTGCTGACCTCGACACGACCCACAGGCTTCCAGGGCAGGTACATGGGTGCTGACCATGTGTGTGTATGTGTGTGTATTATGTACCTGTGTGAAGGTGTGTTTTTGTCTTGGGTAGGCATGTGTATTGCATGTGTGAGTATCTGTGAAAGGTGTGTGCACTAAGGCTGCAGGGAGTGTGTGCACACCATACACATGAAGTGTGCGTTTGTGTGGATTCTTTTTGTCTTGGGGGGGTGGGTGTGAGTCCTGGGTCCACCGAGCACTGTGAGCTCAGTATGTGTATCTTAGGGTGCCTGCATGTGAGTGTGTGTGCACCTGTGCAGATGTGTGTGCGAGAAATGGAGCATACCCTGTGCATGCGCGGCAGCCACACAAGCCCTGGGACACGGCAGCCCTAAGTCCTCAGGTGATTTTGATGGTTGATGATGTTAAGTCGCTAAGTCGTGTCTGACTCTGCGACCCCATGGACTATAGCCTGCCAGGCTCCTCTGTCCATGGAATTCTCCAGGCAAGAATATCAGAGTGGGTAGCCATTCCCTTCTCCAGGGAATCTTCCCAACCCAGAGATCAAGTCCACCTACATTGCAGGCAGATTCTTTACTGACCAAGTCACAAGGGAGGCCCCTCGGGTGATTTTACAGCCATTTATTGTGCTCCAGTGAAGTAGAAAAAGAAAGTGCTCGCGTCACAAACGCCGCTGTCACATCCCGTAAGCCAGCTGCAAACCAAACCGCGTGTGTCCGCCAGGGGTCTGGGCATGCAGTTTGCGCCCGCTGCGGGAATGGGGTGGGGAGGGGTTGAGCCTGGGCTCTGGGGGCTTCGCTTGGGAGGGCTTCTTGTCCTGGCAGGGGGGGACCCATCTATGGGGAGTGGGGGACAGCGGGGTAGCTTTGCTCAGTGCGTCCTTTGGGTGCTGTGGGGAACACCCAGCTCCATGTTGGACCCTGCAGCACACCAGGGAGGAGCCCCCTCTCCACAGCCCCCCCCACCTTCTGCTCCCCCCAAACGCTAACCCTGTAGGCAGGTGCCAGGGAGCCAGAGGAGCCATGCAGGGGGAGGGGATCGGCAGGCCGGGCCAGGCCCTGCCAAGAGCAGCAGCCAGCCTCCCTGGGGGAAGGCGGGAGGCCCGGGGCCCTAGGCGGAGTTGTAGTAGTTGTGCGGGTGGTGGTTGTGGGCCGGCTCGCCCAGCTCAGGGTACTCAGGCGTTAGGCAGTACTTGGGGTCGTAGACCTGGCGGGGCAGCCCGTACACCGTCATGCCCCGCTGCGAAGCTCCCTTGTTGCTGCCCATCTGCAGGCTGACGTTGAGCGTGTCACAGTGCTCCATGCCCAGCCCTGGCTCAAAGATCTGCCGCTTGGTCCCTGGTGCAGTCATGCCGGCCTGCAGAGGGCAGCACAACGGTCAGGCCATGGGGGACCACGAGAACCCCACCAGCCCGCCACACGCACAGCCCCCCTTGCCCCGCAACACACCTGGCTGGCTCCCTTGTTGGTGCCCATCTGCAGGCTGATGGTGGCCTGGTCCAGGGGCTGATCCGTGCCCAGCTTGGGGTCGTAGAGGTGGCGCCGGGTGCCGTAGGCCGTCATGCCCTGCTGGCTGGCAAACTTGTTGGTGCCCATCTAGGGAGCCAGGAGGAGAGTCACCCGGGGGTTACAGGATCCCACCGAGGGTGACCAGACACAACTGATGTCAGCAGACACATGGCCCTCTAATGAGGCCCTGTTTCCACCCCCCTGGGGCAACAGACTGGAAACTGAGGCTCAGAGAAGGTGTGTCACATGACTGCTAAGTGGCCTGATTTCCAGGGTTCAGCTACTCGTCACCTGAGCAATCCTAGCAAATGCGCAAACCTCCAGGCCTCGGTTTTCCCATCTGCATAAAGGGTGTGACGGTAACAGTACCCACCCCCTAGGACAGTCAGAGGAGTGATTAGGGTACCGAAAAGGCTAAGCACAGGGTTTCCTAAAGGACACATATTCTGTACCCCCCACCGCCAACCCGCCAAAGCCTGCAGGGACCAGGGTGCCCTCCTCAACCACAGCTCATCAGCAAGACCCAGGCGGGGAAAGGACCATACCTGCAGCCCGATAATGTTCCGCCCTTCTCTTAGCTTCTCTGGCTCAAATTTCCGTTCCTGCTTCTCCGCGTATTTCACTCCCACGTTCACCTTGTTCCCTTTCGTCTTGGCCTGGGTGGGGAGGTGAAGGCCAGGGACTGACTCTGGGCCACACAGTTGCACTGAAAACCCTGAAAGGCACCCGCTTTCCCTCTCCCACCCAAGCAGGGACTGGGGTGGGAGTACCACGCAGGGGGCGGGGTACAAGAAGCTCCACCCACATCCCAACCCAGGGCGCCCACCCTTCACCCACACTCACCATGCTAGCCAGGGCCAGGAGGGTGGACTGCACTTGCGTGTGGTTGGTGTTCTCGAACAGGTCGTTGGCCTCAAAGATATCGTGGGGCTTCACCCCGTACTTGGTGATGGCCTTGATGAAGTTGCCGATGTTCTCCAGCTGGACGGGAGCCGGCAGCGGTCAGGGGTGTGGGGGCGTGGGCGGGGCTGGGTGGAGGTGGGCGGGGCTACAGGTGGAAGTGGGCGGGGCTACGGGCCAAAGAGTTAAGAGACTAAAGAGTTGAGAGAGGCTGGGCTCACCTGATGCCAGTTCTGGGTGGACTCATTTACTTTCTTCACGGAGCCTGGCTGGAGCTTATTGATGAACCTACAATAAGGGGAGGGGGCTGAGGCAGGGGACTCCCTGCTGCCCGTATCCAAGCCCGGTCCAGCGGGACCAGGGGTCAGGATGACAATCAGGGGGCGCCAGACTTTTTGCTATTTCCCACTGCAGTCAGACCTCAGAGACAGCCCCACCACAAACCACCCAAACACACGGGCGGGACCCAGATGGGAAACCAACCTCAGGAAGCTGGACCTGTTCTGGTCAGAAAGTCTCCCTACGGGAGGTGGAGAGTAGTCTTCTAGGGTGCCCCCGCCTCACTGGTGACCATGTTTCAATTTCATTTTCTTTTTTATTTTCCTTTGGCCTCACTGCACCGCTTGTAGGATCTTAGTTCCCTGACCAGGGATCGAACCTGGGCCCTCAGAAGTTCAAAGCCTTGGGTCCTAACTTGATCACCAGGGAATTCCCCAGGCTCATTTTCTCATTCAAACCACTATGTCTGGGAGAGCCCACAGCTCAGCACTGGGGCCTCTTCTCAGGTCACCATCACCCTGGTGATCTCGTTCAGTCTCTTGACTTTATTTATTCGGCTGCACTGGGTCTTAGTTGTGGTATGTGGGAGGTTTTTTGTTTTTTCAGTTGCAGTATGCAGACTCTTAGTTGTGGCATGTGGGACCCAGTTCCCTGACCAAGGATGAAACCCAGGCCCCCTGCATGGGGAGTGTGGAGTCTTAGCCACTGGACCACCAGGAAGTCCCCAGTCTCTTGACTTTAAATGCCCTTCATATGCTAGTGACTCCCCCAAATCTTCCTGCAGCCCGCCTCCCACTCTCCATTCCATCTCCCCACGGGGTAATAGTATATTTTCTCAGTTGTGCCTGACTCTTTGCAACCCCATAGACTGTAGCCCGCCAGGCTCCTCTGTCCATGGATTCTCCAGGCAAGAATACTGGAATGGGTGGCCATGCCCTCCTCCAGGGGACCTTCCCAACCCAGGGATGGAACCCAGGTATCCTGCATCAAGAGGGATTCTTTACTGTCTGAGCGACCAGGGAAGCTCATCTCCCCACTGCATGTGGGCCTCAAACAAATGCATTCCACCAAGACTCCTGATACCCACCTCCCCCTGCAGAACTCCCTCCATCTTCCACAGCTCACTAAAAGCCCTCCACTGCCCTTGACACTCCTCTCCCTTTTTCTCACCCCACATCCAATCCCTCAGCAATTCCTTTGGCTTGGCCTCCTAAAGACTTCCAGAAGCCCACCTCCACCCCGCCCTGAGCCACCGCTGTCCCTCTCCTGGGCTCCTGCCATGACCTCCCTGTGGGCTCCCAGTTTCCATCTCGTCCCCTCCAGATGCTCGTCACCCCACAGTTAAAATGCCCTTCTTAGAACAATTCCAGGGGCTTCCCTGGTGGCACTAGTGGTAAAGAATCTGCCTGCCAATGCAGGAAATGCAGGAGACTCAGGTTTGATCCCTGGGTCAGGAAGATCCCCTGGAGGAGGAAACAGAAATCCACTCCAGTATTCTTGCCTGGAAAATTGCATGGACAGAAGAGCCTGATGGGCTACAGTTCATGGAGTCCCAAAGAGTCGGATGCAACTGAGCACGCACACACTCTCACTCCACAGGCTGGGCCAGGGTTTGACCCCTGATTGGGGAGCTAAGCTGTGCAGTGTGGTCCCCAAAATTTCCATTATGGTTTATTGTAGGATATTAAATAGTTTTCTGTGCTATACAGTAGGACTTTGTCTAACTTTGCTGTACAACAGACACGAACACAGCTGTAAATCAACTATGTGCTCAGACGCTCAGCTGTGTCCGACTCTTTGCAACCCATGGACTATAGAGCACCAGGCTCCTCTGTCCATGGGATTCTCCCAGCAAGAACACTGGAGTATGGTGCCATTTCCTCCTCCAGGGGATCTTCCCAACCCAAGGATCAAAACCGCATCTCTTATGTCTCCAGCATTAGCAGGCAGATTCTTTACCACTAGTGTCACCTGAGAAGCCTGTAAATCAACTATACTTCAATTTAAAAAAATCCTAAAGTAATAATCCTCCAATTAAAATATTGGAACCTTGAAAAAGAAAAAAAAAAAATCCAGTTCCTACCCAGTTCCAAACACTCCCAATGCCTTGAGAATAAAAGCCTAACTCCTTAGCATGAATGACACAGAGACCCTGCTTCATCTGGCCCCCAGCTAACTCCCTCCACTTTCCCTGGTCACTCCAACCTCTTCAGCATCCTTGAACCCCTAAGGCATGTTCCCACCCCAGGGCCTTTGTACTGGCTGTCCCCTCTACCTGGCCCACTCTTCCCTAAGATGCCCCAGCAGCAACTTCCCTCACTTCATCCGAGATTCTGCTACCTCTTCAGAATGACCTTCCAGGCCATTCTGTACAAAACAGCAACATTTCATTCCTCTGCCCACCCCCCATCCTTCCCAGCTTGACTTTTCCACATGGTACTTCCCACCACAGGCCCGTATGTGATTATTTCATCAATTATTTGTTCAATCATCTCCAGCAGGACAAAAGTTCTGTATGTGCCCCAAGTCGAGTCTGTTTTGTTCACTATTCCCAGTGCCTATACCTGCCTGGCACACAGCAGGCGCTCCATAAATGCACCTCCTCCATAAACAGGTGGGTGGCTCTGCACTCTTTAAGGCCTGGGACACCAAACCATCCCCCCATTCCTTGGATATGGCTAACAGCATCCCCCAGTCCCTCCCTTTCTAGCAGCTAGGGCTTGGTAACAAGGTGACTTTGGGAAGCTTCTGGAAGATTCCTAAGCACAAGCTCTGGCCCACATGGTTACCTTGCCCTGGGTCAGACTCAGAGATGCAGACAAGACCTGGGCTGGACTCAGGGTTCCTACCCAGAAATAGGATTGTGGTGAAATCTAGAAAGTAGAATCTAGAGTCAGGGCTTGGGAGCTGTGAGGGCTGGCCTCTCTCTTGGGGATTAGGTTTTGAGAGGAGGAGAAAATCAGGACCCTCTGAAATTATTGTGGCACATCCCTCAGGTGTATGCACTCAGTTCCTAAGTCATGTCTGACTCTTTGAGACCCCATGGACTATAGTCCACAAGGCTCTTCTGTCCATGAGGTTTTCCAGGCAAGAAAGAATACTGGAGCGGGTTGCCATTTCCTTCTCCAGGGGGGATGTGGCTCGGTGCCTTTTAGCTGTGACCTCCCTTTCTTGGGACTCCGGAGACGATAAATGCGGCTGCCCTGTATGCCTGGAAGTTCAGACTCTAGGTTCTGAAGTCATTTCTGTTGGCACAGTGTGGGACTTTGGGTGACATGCTTTACCTAACTGGGCCTCTGTTTACTTTACTGTTAAATGGGTACAATGATTATCTGCCACCTCAGAGTTCTGTTTGGAGGTGTCAGGTATCAAGTGTCCAAGCTCTGAGCTCATGGTCATTTTGAAGGGTTCAGGGAGTCGAGATGAGGGGTTGGGGGCAGCCCAAGTGGGCCACAATTGCCCCCACTCACTCGCAAAGAATGATGCCGTCCTTGAGGCCGTCCATGAAGTTGTTGCCGATGCGGCGCCCCGTCACCCCCTCGATCCACTCTCGGAGCTCCTGCTCCCGCTGGTGGTCATACTTCTGGGCCAGCTGGGGGGTAGGGGGCAGAGAGAGAATGGTGAGGACAGAGCAGGGAGGAGGGCTGGCTCCCTGGCCCAATCCAAGGCTCCCTAGGCCTGATCTCTTCCTTCATCCCTTCCCAACTAAGGCAATTCTGTCCCAGCGTCCAATGGAGGGGGGTGGCGGGGGCGTGGGGGGGTGCTGAGGACCAGGGTTGAAGTGGCACCTGCCCAGGGGGCCATTCCAGGCATTCTGAGGTTTGGCACCAGAGAACATGGTCTAAGGGGTGGAGAGCGAGATACTCAGAGCTGGGTGGGGGGCGGTGCCTGGCCTCTTGGTTCCCCCTCCGGACCAAACTTGGGGCTTAGCTTCCCCTGGCCCTAACCCTCCCTCTCCTGGATGCTTCAGGCAGGGGAGGAGGAGCCCAAAGTAGGTGCCCCGTGTGCCGCCTGGCTGGGGACTGGTCTGTCTCACATCCCTGTCTCATGGTCTCTCCAGGCCCTCAGCGCTGGGGCTCCCTCTCGGGCTGGGGGCGAGGGTCTGTCTTTGTCTCACTCCGGGCCCCATGCATGTCTGTATTTCTCTCTCCCCCATCGCAGGATGTCCTCAGTCTCTCTCCCAGCTCCTTCCTTGGCCCTGTCATCCTGTCCCCATCTCTGCCTGTCTGGCTGGGAGTGGGGCTCGTGGTTCATCCATCTCCGCTTTCCTGGGTCTCTGTCTCTCCGACTCCAGGTTCCCTGTTTCTGATGGGGGTTAGGGGTGGGGGCGGAGGACTCGGCCCTCTCTCCGCCTCTGCATCCCAGTCTCCGTTTTATGTCACTCCAGGCTCGCCCTCCCCCATCCGTCTATCTCAAGTCTCAGGCTTCCAGAATCTGTCTGCGTCTCTCCCTCCTCTCCTCTATCACTTTGCGCCCTCTGCGTATTTCCAGAACCCTCTACCCCAGCCCAGAACTGGCTCCCGGCCCCTGGGGGACCCGGCTGCCCTTTCTCCTGGGGGGAGGGAAGGAGGAGGGGCGGCCCCCTCACCTGGCCCCGGCCCCTGCCGGCCCCCTCCCCACCAGCCCGGCTTTATAAAGCAAACCGGCCCTTATATAGCGCGGCCCCGCGGGCCGGGCTCCCGAGCCCGCCTTATATGGCGCGGCGGCTCCGCACGGCTCTGGGGCCGGCGCTGGGGGAAGGGGGGGCGCGGCGCTGGGTTCCGTCTCCCGCCCGAGCACTCGCCCTCCACCTGCCCCCTCCTCCAGCCCCGAGAATCCCCCCGACCAGAGTTCCCAATCCCAGCTCCTCCCTTTCTGCCTGTGGAACAGGCAACCCGAGGCTCAGTGTTCCCTTCTGTTAAATGGGAGAGAGATTATTCCCCTAGCAGCGCTCATGGGAGCGTTCCAGTGGGCTGGGGACTTCAAATTTGCAGCCCTGGAGACGCTAACCCCATTTTGATGAGGCGGAGGGAGCAAGTTCAAGGGCCCAATTCTTCACCTCCCTTATATAGGACCTGAGAGACTTGCCTCCCCTCTCTGAGCCTCAGTTTACCCATCATAGCATGAAAGCCACGTGTCTTCTCAGCTCCAAAATCAGGAGATCCCGCTGTGTCCCTAATATCCACCCTCTGCCCCTCCCCAGCTGTCTCCCTTTCCTTCACAGTTTCCCACAATTTGGGGCCTCACCTCCCAGGAACCCCAGCTCTGGAGCACACCCCCAAAGTCAGGCCAGGAGTGTGCAAAATCAAGTCTTTCCTTCGCTCCCCAGGAGCAAAGAGGTTAACAGGGAACCCTGATGAGGCAGGGTTTTCCCAGTGGACCCACCGCCTCAGTTTACCTGTGAGCGCCTGCGTGCCCATGCCGCATTTACACCCCAACAGTATAGCTGAGGGCTTTGAGATGCTCAGGCCAAGGAGGTAGGCAGCCCCCTCCCCATATCGGTCCTTTTTCTGTTTCAGGTTCCAAGGCACTTGGGACAGGCAAGAAGGGGGTCCAGGGAACCCCAAGAGCCGGGCCTCTGGCCTGGCAGGGCAAATGGGCCAGGCTGGGGTGGGAGGCCCTCCAGCCCTACCTTGTTCTTGACCTCAGCTGACAGCCCGTAGGCGGGGCCTCGGTTGAAGTGAGCGGACGACATGCTGGTTGATGGTGGGTGGCGGTGGCTGCGCGCTGGGGATGGTGGCAGCAGCTGAAGCTCCGTCTGCACCCTCTTCCCTCCTCACACGTTTTTGAAGCTCTGGAGGCGGCCCGGGCCTCTTCCAAGCCCGTCCCATTGGCCGTAGGGACCTGCCAAGGGGCGGGGCGCCCCCCACCTCGGCCACCCCCCCCTTCGTGATGTCAGGGCCTTGGTATTGGGAGCTGATTGTGTCATTGTTTCCACCTAGGGGGGCGGCCTGGGTTATTCTTTTTTTTGGGGGGGGTGTTGCTTGGCCAGGGGCTTCCCTGGTGGCTCAGACGGCAAAGAATCTGCCTGCATTGCAGGAGACCTGGGTTCGATCCCTGGGTCTGGAAGACCCCCCTGGAGGAGGAAATGGCAACCCACTCTAATATTCTTGCCTGGAGAGTTCCATGGACAGAGGAGCCGCCACAGGCTACAGTCCATGGGATCACAAAGAGTTGGACATGACGTAGTAACCTACACTTTTCACTTTCAGTTGCTAGGCCAGACACAGACCAACCTTGCCCCACTCTCCCCTGTTTACTGGGCCTTCGGCTGGGTCTCTTAATTTCTATTTGTCTGTCTCTGAGGCCATCTCTCCAGGTCTCTGAGGTCATCGCTCTTCACTGCTCACCAGTCTTGAGGCAGGACTACCACCTGTGGTAGTTTATGAGTGCCACCTTGGATTTAAGTCCAGACACCAGCAGTCTATAAATGTAGGCCAGTCCTCTCTAAGCCCCTGTTGCCACATCTGGAAAATGGACTAATGATAGTGCTCAGGAGAGTGTAGAGCGGATCAGAAGAAATAATGCCAGGGAATTCCCTGGCAGTCCAGTAAAAGACTCCATGATTCCATTGCAGGTGGCACAGGTTCGGTGCCTGGTCAGGGAGATTCTCATGCCATGGGGTATGCCCCCCGCCCCCCCCAAAAAAAAAAACCACAGGAAGAAGAAGAAATAATGCCTCTGACATGTCTAGGGCAGAGCCTGGTACAGAGAGACTCAGGAAGTAGCAGTATTTCTGCTGAGAATCTGGCACCCCACTTCTGTCCTCTCCAGCCCCTCAAAATGATCTGGGGAAGCAGAGATCCTGGCTCCTACCCTACCCATCCACATGTGGGCCGTCTGAACCACGGAGTGGCTGTGTTAGTGGGTTCCAGGCCATGGGCACCCCCACATATCTCTGTTCAAGCCAGGCTGGCCTGGAATGAACACCTGTCAGCAACTTTGCCTGGCCAGGTCTCACCCCTGGACCACAGGGGTGGATGACATGCCCACATTATACCATGTAGGTTTAGACCATCTTCCAACTGTAGTGTTGGAGAAGACTCTTGACAGCCCTATGGACTACAAGGAGATCAAACCAGTAAATCCTAAAGGAAATCAACCCTGAATATTCATTGGAAGGACTGATGCTGAAGCTGGAGCTCCAATACTTTGGCCACCTGATGCGAAGAGCTGACTCATGGGAAGACACCGATGCTGGGAAACATTGAGAGCAGGAGGAGAAGGAGGTGACAGAGGATGAGATGGTTGGGTGGCTTCACAGACTCAATGGACATGAATCTGAGCAAATTCTGGGAGATAGTGGAGGACAGAGGAGCCTGGTGTGCTGCAGCCCATGAGGTTGCAGAGAGTATGACATGACTGAGTGACTGAACACCACCACCAACAAAAGTGACACTTGAATAAAATGCCAGCAAACTGTGATGTATCATACACATGATATGTTAAGGACAGCAATTTGCTAGCTACATGCTAAGGGCACAGTCATGATGTACTAATAGGAAAAGAGCCCTTATGTCAGACCCTGGCCCAAGTGCTGCACATGTGTCATACCTCATTACACCCTCAGAAGTGGATGTTGCTATTATTAGATACACTTTTCACATGGGGAAACTGTGGCACGGAGTGTGGACTTCCTTTCCCAGTATCACAGCTCACTAGTGGCAAAGCAGAGTCTGAACCAGGGCCTCTGCCCCTAATGCTATGAGGCTAAGGCAGGGTTTCTCAATTTTGGTACTGTTCACATCCAGACTGGATAATTCACATGGGGGGGGGGGCGGGGGCAGGGTGCTGTCCTGGGCATTGTAGAACTTTCAAAGTCTTTTTTTCTTTTGGCTGCATTGCGAGGCATGTGGGATCTTAGTTGCCCACCAGGGATCGAACCCGTGCGCCCTGCAGTGGAAGCACAGAGTCTTAACCACCGGGCCACCAGGGAAGTCTCCTTGCACCCCCTCCCCCCAAACAGAAATGTCTCCAGAGGTTGCCAAGGGTCTCTGGGAACAGTATGGCGGTGCGAGGGGGGTGGCGGCAGATCGCTCTCATTTGAGACCCCCGGAGCTAAGGCAACTAAGGACAAGTTGATGGAGTGTAATGGTATGTTGAAGATAATGCTATAATACATAAAATGTAGTTAACAACGACTAAGTACTGAGTGCTTTGGATCTGTTAACTCATTCCTCACAGCAGCCGTATGATGTGGGGTCTAAACGATGCACAGAGAGGTGAAGCCAACTGCCCCAGTCACACAGCTCGAGGGTGGTGGAACGAGGATTCCTCCGCGCGGATTCGGAGACCCTGCCCAAGCTGAGCGGCCCTCGGCGGGCCACGGGTCCTACTGCGCATGCGAAGACTCGGCCGAGCTCGGGGCCGGCGCCCCCTGGCGGATCAGGAGGGTGGAGGCGGGGCCTGGCGGCGTCGGGGCAGCGCTGACGCCACGCGCTGACTCACTCGGCCCCGCCCCCAGCCCGCGGCCGCTTGGCCATTTATAGAATCCGCGCTGGCTCTGAAGTCACGGCCCAGGCACGACGGGGGCGGGGTGGGGGAGCACTTGGCAGCCCCCCAGACGGGGCAGCCCGGGGTCTCCCTAGGGGGCATTCCGTTTTGGGTCCATTTGTCCCTCCAGTTCCGAGTCGCTGTCTTTAGCTCTTGCTGTGTCTTTTGGTCGTTCTCTATCCGTTTCTCTGCGTCGCCTAGCCTTTTTCTGTCACAGCCTTTGTCTCTGAGCCCCTATGAATTTGCCTGTCTCACTCTCTCTCTCTGTCCCCATGTCTCCTTTATCATCTCTCCGTCTTTGTGTCTCTGTTTCTGTCTCACGCCTCTCGGTCACCGTTTTTCCTCTGTGTCCCTGCCTCTGTCTGATGGATGGGGCTAGAGGCGGAGAGAGGGGACTGAACCCCATCCCGAGGCCCCAGTCCTAGAGGACTCCCTCATCACTGGCCGCTCGGCGTGCAGCCCCCCTGCTCAGCTCCTAGGTGGCGCTTCCAAGGCCAGCAGCCCCTCTGTGCCTCAGTTTCCCACCTAAATGGGAAGGATGGGTTTTGTAAGTCATAGTTGTCAGAAGAGTCCTGGAACAGTCATGAAAGAAAAGTTCTGTCTTCCCTTAATCTTAGGAGATCCTAGAAACTTTCTGTCAGGACTGTCTCACACACACACCTCTGTTCCTGTCTCCAGGAGCCTCAGCCCTTTCTCCCTACACTGGCCTATCTTGGCAGTCCTGGGTCTGCCAGCCCACCCCGCACCTAATTTTCCCCTCCCCAAATGCCTTCTGTTTCTGGAGGGCTCACTCCATGCCAGGCACCCTTCCAGGCACACCCTCATTTAAGAGATTTAAGATTAAAATTTCACTAAATGTCATTTCCACCCTCTTGGGGTGGAAAGTCTTAGACTCTTTTTTTTTTTTTTTCTTTGCCTCGCAGCATGTGGGATCTTAGTTCCCTAACCAGGAATCAAATCCGAACCCGTTGCATTGGAAACACAGAGTCTTAACCACTGGACCTCCAGGGAAGTCCCTTACACTCTTTTTATAGATAAATAAACCTAAGATTCAGAGAAACCAGATCACTCTCCCAGGGTCACACTGCTCCTGCTGCTTCCAGATCCTTCCGCGGGTATTTCTTAGGTGCCCAAGCATGCCCTCACCTTTGTAGTCCCTTCCACCTGGACCCATTTCCACAAGATGCCACTGTGCCCTCTCCCTCATTTACTCTGCTCAGCTGTCCCCTTTTCAGAGAGGCCCTCCCTGACCACCTGCTCTAAAATAATAGCATTGCCCGCCCCCAGACTGTGAGAAGATGGGCAAGGAGGGTGCTGTTCCATTAAGGGTTCCATTAAGGCAATGGGTATGTTCACCTCCATAAAACCTTCCGTTTGAATAAGTGATTTTAAAAAGCCCCCCACCCCACCCCCCTGCCTAGCCTTCCCTGGTGGTACAGTGTAGAATCTGCCTTCCAATGCAGGGGACACGGGTTCGATCCCTGGTCAGGGAACTGAGATCCTGAATGCCTAAGATGCAGCTAAGCCCAAAGGCCACAGCTACGGAAGCCCACAAGCCCTAGAGCCCATGCTCTGCAATAAGAGAGGCCACAGCAATAAGAAACCTGCATGCTGCAACTAGAGAGTAGCCCCTACTCATCACAACTAGAGAAAAGCCTGAGGAGCTACGAAGACCCAGCGCAGCCCGAAAAATTTAAAAAGAAGCCCCCCCCCCACCCCTGCTCTTTGTCTCCATTTCTTACTTTCTTTTACTTGTCATCTCCTTCTTGCTGGTTACCTCTCATCCTGCAAGCACAGAAAGTCCACGAAGGCAGAGATTTGCTTGTTTTGTTCACTGTTTTATCCCTAATAACCAGGAGAGGGTTTGCACACAGCAAACAATGCTGAGTAAATGGAATTAAAATCAGTGAGCCAGGACTCGAACCCACACGAATTTGAAATGTTGGTGCTTAACCACTCACAAAGGAAGGGCATAATTGCCTAGATCCTCTTGGACTGAGGACAGTTGAGATGGGGTCCCCTTTTCATTTTCATTCCAGCTCTCCCAGAAGACCAGTTGGAGGGTAAAGAAGATTGGGGCACAGGCTGGGGTTATCCCAGGCCTTTCTACAGTTGCCAACTCCCTTGTCCAGCCTTGAGCTTTGCAAGAAGATGTTTTGTAGGAAAAGCATCTGGTTGAACAAGAGAGCTTTTCTTTTCTTT